AATGATGGGTCCCTGACAGATGGCTTTGCTTCCTTGGGTTCCTCTGCCTCCCTCCAACACACTTTCTCCAGGGAGTCCTTGTAGTAACAGAACCTCTGTAAAAAAATTTATACTTCAGCATATTCAAAAGCATTATTACAACACTGATTTGGTAGGAATTATAGAGATAAGAAAATACTGAAGGATATTGGTATACAGTATAGGTTCCAACTAACAACTGACCAGCACAGAGAAATGTACATACACATGCATGTGCACTCAGAACTCGCACTCAGCAGAGCTCATCCTCATGTACACAGAAGTATATCTATGGACTGCACTATTTTCCTTTTGAAATAAGGAAGTAGGGAGAGTAGCATCCCCCCCACTGCCAGCCATGAGAACAAAATTTAAATTGTTGTACAAGATCCATGACTGAAGATGGAATTGCAGAGGTTAGGATTGAAATGATAGCTCTTTGAATCCTTTCTGACTACTAAGAATTCCTGTTGGTTCACTTAAGTGTCTGAACAGCATAAAGCTCAGATAGCAAGCTTGCAATGATTAATTTCCCCATTGATTGGAATGGGACTCAAATATGACTAATTGCAATCTATATATCAATTGGCTGGAGGGTGTCTGGAGAGATTGGAAGTATCCCTCTGCTGGCAGAAAAGACACTCAACGTCTGGACTAAGGGAAAGCATGTGTTGTGGAAAAGCTACAAAACTGGAGCATTCCTGCAGTAAAGCCGGGGCAGCTTTGGATTCATTAGACCCCTAAGCCCATTCAGTTCTCCCACAAGGCCACAAGACTGGATCCATCGACTAAAACAGCATGGCATCTTCCACTGCCCACCAAGTTTCAGTGGGGAAAATTTAAAGCTTCCTTTCAAGATGGACAGGTCTCTATTGCTCTGCTCTGGGTAAACTGGGATTCAGAAGAGCAGATAGTGTGCCACTTCATTCCCATTCTCACACCTGGAGTCCTGAAGGTTTCTGTTTTCCTAGATTCAAACTACTGTACATAGTTCCTTGTTCCATTTCCTTTGGCATCTTAACGGCCACAATCTAGATCTAACTCCAATATTTACACTTTAAAATGAAGGCAGATGAGAGAAAACACCAAGGAGATAGAAAATGAATAGCAAATTGTTTCAGTTACTAATTTAGAGTATAGCAAAGAACTTTAAACACCCACCGCCATTAATTTTTTAAAGCATTCCACAGTAAGAAGGTTTAGCTTTTGTGAAGAGAAGGACTTTGTTTAAGGCTTTCTGAGATCCCATCTTGGCTCAACATTAAATGAAACTGAATTTGGTTAATGAGATATTGGACACATCCCAAAGATTGTGAAGCGTGTGGGTTTTCTCATAACGGTTGCTACTACATTTTTATAAAATAAATAAATGTAATTTTTGTTCATTAACAGTCCTACAAACAAATGATCAAGATACTGCCCACACATACATACTATACCATTAGAGTCAATATTTTTTTTTCAAAAAAGTTATTATGCATGAAAAACATGTTTGCTGAACAAGTAATGCATAATATTGAAAACTGCCATGTTAAAAAAAAGGTCTCCACAGGGTACCCAAATGCCTTTTGCATGTATGTTATTGATCATACTTTTATTGCATTCTACTTGTCCTAATTATTGCAAATGCCAAATAAAACTGCAACATAGCACATTGAACTTCTAAGCTGTTACTCTAATTTAAGAATGCAGCCAACCTATTTAGGAAGACATCTACATGGCAGCTAAGACATATATGTAGTATGTACATAAAGGCACACAGATTTCTGGACAGAATGTGCTTTCTTTGGAATATTTTAATTTATAAGACACATAGGTAGATCTGAGGAACTTAGAAGTCATCCAACCCTACTGTTAGGGATTAAATTTTGTTAAACACAAAGTTCCAAATTTTAATTTTGTGGTTGCTTTCACACATTAAAAATATACAAAGAAACGTAAGCTTCTGAAACGTGTTAATAGTCAGAGGTACTGCTTTGGAAATGGCTATCTCAGGTCATGGGACGTTTGTTAGATCAATATGAAAATTATCAGACTATTTGAATTTTACATTGTGAGACACAGTGTATATGTAATAGCTTACAGGTTTCTGAGAAAGCATATTACAGAAGATAAAAAAACAACTTGGAACAATAAATTATTTAATTGAAGACATAAATTGAAGACCACAGTTCAATTAATATTTTCAAACAGAAGGATATGGGGCAGTAATAGTCTTAGAACACAAATATGGTCACAGCCTTAAAATAAATACATCCCTATGCCACATATACTGTAACTAAAAAAGTATGCTTCTTGTTTTTTAAAAAGGAAATAATACAATTTGCACACTTCTTATTTTTCTTCGGCTATTTTCTCTCTCTCTTTTTACATGAACATTGTAGAAATCATTTATTTCAACAGAAGGCAGAAATACATCACAAAAGAAAAAGTCTTGGTTTGTACATTAATTCACAAAAAAAATCAAGGACATGGAGAAAATTAATAGAGTTTTCATTATTAGAGCTGGGGAAGGAAGCAGAAAAGCTTTAAAAGAGCCAGTGGGATTTTAAAAATGTTAATTTCTTCACTTAGTTTTGCCCATACTGTGTGGTGCATCACTCTTATAAACCAGTGATTAAGTTCAGTAGAAATAAAAATAGCAGTAATTAGCAAGTACAAATTTAACAGCATCAGTGACATCAACTTGCCATTAAAGCTTGATAGGCAGCAGTAGGGGATACATGCAACCCCTTGGTTAACTCTTCCCTTGTTCTACACCCCCTTTTCTTATAGCAACAGCTGAAGAAAAGGGAATGAAAGTGAATCACACTGATGAACAAATACTGTATTTGATGTTGTATATAAAGTACACTGAAACATACGTAAATGTATCACAATGACCATGTATCAGATAGGCAAGGCTCATGTCCCTATAAGATATTCTACCAATATGGTATGCCAGTAAATATGTCCAGTTAAAAGGCAGTGTGTAAAGTATGAATCATATTTAATGGAGAATGAGAAACAGAAAGCTTAATAACACATTTTGTGAGACATCAAGTAAGCTAACTTATTTTCATGTTCTTGCTGCTGTTATTTCAAAGCATTGTTGGACTCACCAGCCCCTTAAGGAAAGGGGAAGGAGTTTTAAGGAAGGCCAATGATAATAAAGAGTACGTTCACACAAAGCGAATCCTTGATTTTTCATTACAATATGCACTATATCATTTGTCTTCCTCCTCTAGGTGGGCATGAAGAGTTTGACAGCTTTCATTTCCATCTTAGGCTAACCACAGCCTATGAAATATGAATCCAAATTGCAGTTAGTCTTAACTATGGTTAATAGAAAATAGCCATCTTCCAACCAGTTTATAAAGATAGCTTTTTTTGATAAATAGTTAAAATTAATCACTATTTAGGGTTCAGATGCAACCATAAACAATGGCTAAAAAATGAAAGTGCAGATTTCTGATCACCCCCTTGCAGCTGCACCAGAAGAAGCAGTGAATGTCCGAGCCAAAGACTCTGTCTGGCATGCCCTCAAAATATGAAATGGTCATGTTAGGTGTGATGCCAGATACTGATTTTATTTTTGAAAAAGATTACATTTTTAGCCAAATGTAGAGAATATGATGAAAAAGCAGAAGCAATACTATAACACATGCACTAGTGCACCAGGATGAGAAGCACTGCCCATATTAATAGTTAAACCGGCATATTTGAGGACATATATAAACAGATTTTGATCCCTACTATCAAACACATATATAGTTGTAATAACAAAAAAACAGCCTGAGATACACACTTGACTTGCTTACTACTGTTGTAACCATGTGCACACACACGTTGCTGTGTTTGAAGAGAGGCACTTAAGTTTAGCAGAGTACTTCTGTTGTATACAGTCTAATGAAGGTCTCTAAAGTAAAAGCATACTGAAATACAAAGTTGGTTTTCCCAGAGAGGCTTAAAGTACAAGTGTTATTTTTCTACTAAGACACTTAAATTTAGTCTCAAGTGCAAAGACACTTCAATTTAATCTATTCATCTCAACTGCATTACCCAATTTTAAAAAATAAAAAATACTTGACACAAACTTCCAATCAACCCTCTCCCTTTACTTTCACCTCCAGAATTGTGAGTCTTATTTGTACAGTGAACAACATTCTAGGGTAAGTAATATGAAAACTATGCATTTTAGCACACACACATTTATGGAAGTACTTCCTTTAGCCTCTTTCTTTTCCTAAAATCAAATTAAATACCAATCAAAACCCCCAGTGCTCTATTTCAATGCTGCAGCTGTTGACATGTATATTAAACAGCTACTATAAACTGGAAGAAAACCAGTGTGTGACTGTAATGGGCAGTGGGCACAATCCAGTTCCATTAAAATTTGTGCATGTTTCCATTTACTTTAATGGAATATAGATTATACCTCAAAAGCCTTTTGAGTAAGTGCATTAGTACATCATATGAAGAGGACTTCACAAAAATATCAAAATTAAACATTGATTTCTTAGGTACTGCAAAAGTAACACACAACAAATAGTACATACAGCAATAATTTATTCTGAAATGTTCATTTAGTTCTGTTGAGACCTCGCCCATGTCTCATTAATAAAAGAGCAGCCATCTCACCTCAAATACCAGAATATACAACAAGTTACAGCATAGCAAAAATCCTACCTACTGTCAGTTAAAATCTAGTTCTGGTAAAATAATTTTGATCAAGGTTTACACATACACAGATTTTCTTGTTTCTTTTTCTTTTTCTGTTTTTGCCAGAGCACAAAACCAATAGGTAATCATTACACCATAACTATCTATACACATTATGTGACCACAGAAATGTTAATCATCATTTCAGAAAATGAACCATCAGTTTTATCCATGCAGAAAAAACAGGCTTGTTCAGCAGAAACCATATTACTGTGAATTTCACAGCCACATGATTACTAATAAGATTAGGTGGCTTCACAAATATTAAGATGGAGTATTCCTTCTTTTTTCTTTCTTTTTTTTTTGCATAAATACCAATTTCTCCCTGATGCAAGTTGAGTCATTTTGCAAATCTAGAAATGAGCAATACAGCAATAGATTTCTTTGAATCTCTGTTGTTCATCTTCCCCAAATTCCCCCAACCCACCAAAAATTAAAGTTACGGGATGTTAATTAAATATATGTAAAACATACTGTACAAATATAATCACTTTAGCAATTTTATTGCTAAATTATTAGTTGGGAATCCCTCAAACATTATCAGTGAAAATAAAGAATATCAAATATGGCTTCCAGAACAAGAACCCTCTACATAATCAAATCTATTTACAAAAAGACAAGAAAAACAATTTATTATATTTTCCTTAAAAGGTTCCACATATAGCATAATACATCAGAATTTTTTTGTTAAACAGAAGTCACCAGATAGGACCCAGAATGGCGCTTAGGACTTTGACTGCCACTTGAATCAGTATTCTCAGTTTTTGAATCTCGTTTCTTCGTACTGTTATTTACTGGTGTTGGTATCTGTGATGGCCGAACAGAACTATTATCCACACTGCTTTTTCTGGGACTTGGATTATAATTGAAAGGAGTCACTCGTGCTGCAACAGCACCACTGGGGGAACTATGTTTGCTTGAGCTGCTAGAACTGAATGGTGTACGCTCATTAACTGTGTTTTCACTAGTCTCTGGAGCAGGGGTAGAATTGCTTATCACTGGTTTTGTTTCAGTTCCTTTCTTATCTTGACTATCTACTTGAATAAATGAATTCAGACGGCTTTCTAAACCCATGGTACGAACAATGACATTTCCATTCCCTGCATTTTGTTTCCCATGAGGATCCTTAGACTCTTTACTATTCACATTCCCTTTCTCTGAAACACTGTCAATAATGGGTGGAGTATTTCCTGTAGGAGATTTCCCAGATCTAGGATTATTAATAGGGCAGTCTTCTATCCTTACCCACACATCCTCTGTCTTAGAAACAGCAGGTGCCATCTGGTAAATTAAAGTTTTTGAATCAGCACCGTTGGTAGCACCTGATGAGGTATTCTGAGGAGGACTCGTCATTATCTGAGGAATTTCATTTTCTTTTATCTTTCTCCAAGTACCTTTTGTTGATGATTGAGTCTCTTTAGACTGCTTGAGTCCAGAAAAAGAACTTACATGTTGCTTCTCATCCTCACTTTTTGCTTTTTCACTGGACTCTGAGGAGGCTGAAAGAATTGAGGAAGAACTTCCAGTTCTTCGCCAAGTGCTGACACGAGGAAGTGATGAGGAGTGTTTACTGTGCTCACGCTTCCATGTCCCTGATCTATTAATCGGCAGTCTGGAAGGACTTTCGGAGTGAGATCGGGTTATGTCATGTCGCTTTGTTGGCCTTCCATCGCTGTATTCTAAAGAAGGGCTCAGGCTAGGAGGCAGCTTTCGCCAACCACTAGCTTGGATAGCCGAATGAGTAGATAAAGACATATCAGGAAGTGAAGGACTTAAAACTGGAGTCTGTGTTTGGGACTGAGTGGGTGAATCTGGTCTAGAAGGAGACAAAGATTCAAATGAAGCAGACTCTTCTAATTTCCTTCGTAGAGTGGGACTTGGAGTTTCTTTAATAAAAGTTGACTGGCGTACTAAAACAGGTCTCTCTGATCTATCAGATTCACTCCCACTGGACTTTGTTGATGACATTCTAGATAGATCCACCTTTTTGTTTGATCCATTGATACCAGCAACTTGATTTAATCCTTTTGAGGCCGATTCACTTCTAGGAATGCCACTAGTACTTTTAGGCAATGCAGTTTGTTTTGCCACAGTTTGCTGGCTCATCTGTCTCCCTGGTGATGTATATGCCATTCTTCCTGAACCTGAAGACTTGGTGGAAGCTGTACTTGGAGATGATGTTCTTGGCAGTTGGGAGAGTTTATTAGGAGGACTTATGCCATTTCTGCCTGGTGAAATGGAATTTCGGCCAGGAGACGGCAAAGGCCTGCTTAATTGTTGTTGCTGTGGTCTTGAAGGTGTAGAATCTCTAGATCCAGACCTAGAAGGTCCTTTACTTGATCCACCCTGTTGAGATGGCTGTCTAGATATAGGGCTTGGCTCAGATTTCACAGATGACTTGGTTACTCTGGGAGAACTAGTAGAATTTTGGGTATCATTAGGACTTTTAGAGGCTGTTCCCTTTAGCTGTGGCCCTTTTTTAGAAACTGGACTTGTACTTGAAGAACTATTTCGAACTCCTGGAATATGAATCATTGTCCTGCCTCGGGAAATGGAGGGCATATTTGTTTGTGAAGGCTGTTTCAAGTGACTTGTAAGTTCTGAATTAGAACGAGCTTTACCTGTAATCATACTTCTATATACCTTCTTTCCTCCTTTGATACCTTTATTTTCAGATTCTACTTTCTTTGTTTCCAATGTACTCTTTTCTCCCGGTTTAATAATTCTTGGACCCTTGTTACTAGTAAAAGGTTTGTCTTCTTGGTCTGGTGTAAGATGAAATGGTGATCCCAAGGAAATGCCAGATTTTAACGAAAGGATTGAATCTGAATCTGATGAAGCTTGCCTAGACAGTGATGCTGCAGCAGCAGCTTGATGCAGGCTGCTAACGATAGAATTTGCACCCTCCTGAATAGCTTTCCAGTCAAAATTTTCTGAATCGGGTGAAAAACCATGCTCTGAATCAGGTCTTTGTATATCTTTCAAATCTAGTGTCAGGTCTTCTGCCAAAATGCCTCCCATGCTTCTAGAGCTATTCTTTTCATTGTCCCCTTTTGCTCTTGAAGGCTTTTTCTTTTTAGGCATGGCAGAACTAATACATTCTTGCAGAAGATCATCTTCTGAATCAATACTAAGAGAACTAAGGGAACTGTTTCTTGAAAAACATACAGGAGTATCTTCAACATGGAATGATTTAGGAGCATAGCCAGAAACTTGGGGCCTACTTGATTCCATCTGTGCACCAGATGGTTCTATTTGTTCTATAGATTCATTTTCTTTGTTGTTATTGTTTTCTTGATCAATATCACTGAGGGAACTCAGAGAAGAATTACGGGAGAAACAAACAGGAGTATTTTCTATTGCAAAATTTTGTGTTTTCTCATCTGTAACAGCACTCCTGTCTGCAATATCTTTGGATGACTGAGAGAATGGGATTTGTTTCTGCCCCAATGACTTTGATTGGCTTCTTCCTCCTGGGGTATGTTTTTGACAAGCCTGCATTCTACTTGTTGATTGCTGATTTGAAACCTGGTCTGCATTGCTGCTGGATTTATTTTCACTTTCCTTATCCTTTCTCAGTTCTGCTTTTTCTCTTGAAAGATCCACATCATCATCAAAATCAAGAGAACTCAAAGAGTCATTTCGTGAAAAACAATATGGTGTTCCCTCAATTGGAGTGTAGTGGTGGGGAGAATCAAATGCAAAGCTTCCTCTTGTACGTTCTTCATTATTTGGAAGTTTATCATTAAAATCTCTTGAGTTGTTTTTAGGGTTTTGCTTCTTTGTATCTTTGTTGTCGGTATAGGCCCGTTCACTACTAAAATTACTTTTTGGCTCGGAGGTTTTTCGTAAACGCGCTCTGTAGTCATTACTAAGAGACATGGGTTTTACTGGTGATGTTGGTTTCTTTTTCTCAACTTCCAGTTGATTTTTATTACCTACTGATGAGGTTGTCGATGCTTGCTGGATCTGATCCATTATCTTTTTCACTCTGAAAGGCTTGTGACTTTTCCCTTTTGGCATAGCAGAATTAATACATTCTGCCAGGATATCATCACCTTCTTCTGCTTTATCATCATCTAACCCAGCAGTAATCCCCACTACATTTTTTCCTCTCTGAGAATCATCAGTATTTCTGCCTTCTGTGGGAATGGTATCTCTCTTTTCAAACTTGGTTGAGTCTACCCCTGTATCAGCAGTCTCTGTATTGGCCAGTTCGTTTGGTGGTGATTCTATTGTAAGGTCACTCAATGAAGTTGCAGTTGAAAAATTTATTGGTGTTCCTTCAACACAATACACACGTGGCATATCATCTCCAGGTGTGAAGCTAACATGCTTCTGAGAATGCAACCTGCTTTGGGACGGGATAAGTTTATATACAGGAAGCTGGCTCGGTTTCCTAGCGACAGGTGGAGGTGTTTTTGAAGTAGTTATCTGTGAAGGCTTTTTGGCTTTACGTGAAGATTTTGTTGGCATAGCAGAAATAATACATTCTTCCAATATTTCTATATCATCTTCATCAGAATCATCCAGTATATTTTTTTCAGTTTCTGTGGGTTTTTCTGTAATATTTTCTTGTTTATCTGCTGTTTCATTTGGTTGTTCAAGTTCTGCTTCATTCCCATTGTCATTTTCATGTACTGGGGGCATTATTCTCAACTCTACATCTTTTTGTATAAATGGTTCATCAAGACTCAAGGCACTTAGACTTGATGAACAAGAAAAGCCATCTGGTGTACTTTCTGTAGCAAAATGTAACAAAGTGTCTGCGTCTTGCAATACTTGTACTCTTTGAACAGCTGCATTCACAGTTGTTTGCCTCGGCCCAGATTCTCTTTTTTCAGTACTGGGAACTTTAGCTTTGGCTGCTTCTCTCTTCACTTGTGCCACCTGTGGAGGTGGTGGAGTTTTACTTCTACTTGGTGGCATTGTTTGCCCAGGACTATCTGGAAGGTCACTTGGACTTATAATACCACTTACCATCCCGCTGCAAGGCTCACTCTGAACAGAGCTAGCAATTGAACGGCTCTCAAAACTATCCAAGGAGCTCACAGAGGTACATCTGCTAAACATGAGTGGAGTCTCCTGCACATAATGTTCTGGTGGGCTCTTGGGAGTCTGAGCACCACTTTTTGAAGGAGATTTGGCACCTGAAGAAAATTCAACAGTTTTATGTCTTGCTGAATCAGAAGGAGATAGATTAGAAGCCTGAAGCCTATTTGATTTTGTTCGAATGTGTGGAGAGGTTGATGAGGTCTCATTTACAGTACCTGTGGCAGACAGATTCCCACTATTTTCTTTCATTCCCCCTATCTTGTGAGAATTGTCAGTATCCACTACACGTGTTGTTTGGTCACGTCCAGTTTCATCTTCAGCTGAAGACAACGATGACAGAGAGCTACATCTTGAAAAACATATTGGTGTATCTTCCACACAATAGGTCTGTATTGTTTCCTGGTTAATGGAGGGTGCTTTGCAGGATGCAGACTTCTGAGTATGAACTGTCCTACTCTGAGCAGAATTTGGAAGCAGCTGGTTATGTCTCTTTGAGCCAGCCGAGGTTGATGTATTTCCACTGCTTGATGAAATATGATCAGTTTTAGAACTCTGTACAGATGGACTTTTTGAAAAAGAAAAAGATGGCTTTTGTGCTGAAGGAGGAACATCTGTTGAATATTTAAGACTGTAATCAATAGGCTGATCTACATGATGCTCCTCTTCATTGTATTTTATACTATAATTAGTTGGATGGTCTTCCTCTTCATGTTGCTCCTCCTCAGAGTAACGCTCGCTATAGTTGGTTGGCTTATCATCTTCATAATCATCAACTTGATGTAAAGACTGGTTCACATTTGGATTTATTCCATGATTGCAGCCTGTTCTGTTTTGTTCTGAATTGCTGGAGTCTCTTGATCTAAAAGGAGAGACACACTCTGGCTGTCCAAAAGGTGACTGGTAGCTCATATGTTTATTATCTCCAGTTTCAGAGTACACAGGGTATGCACCACTTTGACTTCTGGATTGTCTTTGTTCATTCTGCTTTGTTTCGTCCTCTATAATATGTTTGGATCTAGCCCATCTTTCATTCTGAGATGGGCTCTGCCTTCCAGAATTTAACTGTTCATCAGAGTACTTCAGGCTGTAATTTATTGGGGTATCGAGTTCTCCATCATTGTCATCCATATGATTAGCACTGTGTATTTTATGGGCTAAATCTGCAGGATACTGTTCATAATTGCAGAATTTGCTTTCTTCATCTTCAGAATAAGATTCAATAGGCTTCATTTGTCCTCTTTTACCATACCCATCACTGCTGCTGACACTGTTTAAACTATCATTAGAGGCTCTCTTATACTCTACTTTTGCATAAGGTACAGAGCATGTCCTGTTTTCAGATTTAGGAAAGTTGTAATTATTTGTGTGAGAATGGCCAGTGGCTGTTCTTCTTAAACCATTTCTGTCTTCAGACAAACAGTGCATTTCAGTTACAGATCCATTACTTCTCTCTTCTTGTGGAACATGCATATTTGTCACTTCTTCCATCACTTTCGAAATCTGGGCTGCAGTAGTAGAGATCTGCATTCCTATTCGTTTAGAAGAGCTCCCAGAATTTTCTGTTGCTGAGTGATAGTTGCTCAATCCTACTGCCCGCTCTCTATCCAAACTTCTGTCCTTTTCAGACCGAGAACTCTCAGTATTTCCTCTGCTTGAGGAAGAGGAAGCAGGCAGTACTGTCGTGTTTAAATAAGGTGAAAGTACGTTACTACTATTATAATTTTCTGACCTACAAACTCCATCTTCATGCCGATTACCATCCAAAACATATTCACTGTACAGATTCTGTTTATGCCTTTGCTTATTACGGTGAGATGTTTTGGGACTTAAGTTATCAATATTGTCAAAAGTCTCAGATAAATGTTGGGCATCTAACTCTGCTTCCAGTGCCTTTTGTTTTCTGACATGAAGAGATGGCAAGCTTGATCCTGGGGACATAATGTTTGCATCTTTATATTTTGCAGGTCTGTTTGCCATTAGGTTCCTCAGAGCTGCAGCACTGCCCATGGCTATCATCTTGTGCTTTGAATGTATGAGATTTTTTAGCATGCTAACCGCTCCCATGTCCCATAATGCTTCCTGGTCCTTTGCATTCCGTGCAGAGAGATTCCACAGAGTTCCACATGCATTACTGACTATTGTCAAACTGTGAGACTTCAAGTGATGTAAAAGGGTTTGCAAGCAGCTGTTCTCTCTTAGAATTTGCCTGAAATTAAGAAAATTAACAAAATAAGCATCAATCTAGTCACATTTACTTTCAACTTCAGAAAAAAACTACATTTTCAATTGATAATACTGTCCCCTTAAGCCCAAAGAAAAGTATTCACTGTTGTCAGTTCACTTAAAGATGGGATCTAAAGAAGAAGGCTGTGTACATGAATGCTGTAAGACTGCACTGAAACAGTTATCCCCAACTCTAACCCCAATTTTAGGAGAGCAAATTAGAGCAGCTGTTTGGTCCTAATTTGGATGGACACAACAAAAAACTATATGAGGATAGGTGATGTTCAGAGGAGAAGTATTTACTATAGTGACAGAGAAGTCTTCCTATCTTTCCTTCCACCACTTTCATCTTAAAAAAGAAAAATTACAAGTCACCTAGTGTAGCAGGAGCAAGTTCCACTCTTGCTGCCATTTAAAAGAATAACAAAGACTTTTACATTACTCTTTTTTCTTTTAAAGTCTGGGGTTGTCTGCACAAGTATCTTCCCTTCAAAACCATTTCTGGCCAGAACTCCTCCCCAAACCAAACTGTGAGCCCTGAACCCAAAGAATCACTGGTTTCAGGCAGGATCACTAGATTTGCTACAGTCCTTACATAAAAATCTTTGGTGCGAACACTGAGAACAGTTTTCTAAAACAGATGACTTCACATAGCTGTGCTGTTTGTGTGTGTATATACATGTACTGTGTAATATATGTCTGTAGTATGCTATCATTTGGAATCAAGCCTATTTTAATCAATCTCTTTAAAATGCTTAATCAGTTAATTAAACAATAAAACCGAAAACAATAGTACAATAATAGTAGTACAGTGGTGCCTCGCTTAACGGGCGCTCCGTTTAGCGACGAAATAGCTTAGCGGCGACTTATTCGGAGCGTTTTTGCGCTTCGTTTAGTGATGGTCCCTATGGGCGATTTCCGCTTAGCAATGGTTGGGACCATGCTTCGCATAGCGATTAAATTTTGGGTCCCCTGTTTTGCTTAACGATGGTTTAGACAGCCTCATGTTTGCTGTTTTTTAAATGTTTTCCTGTTATTTATAAAGTTAAAGTTTACTGTTTAAAATGTTTGAAATCATAAAGTGCACTTAATAAACCCTTTGTTAACCAAATTTGACTTTGTTCTGACTCTTTTTAAATTTGTTGTTGTATTTTTTTCCCTCATTGAGATGCACTGAATAGGTTTCAATGCATTTCAATTGGGGAACCGCGTTTCGCTTAGCGATGCTTCCTATGGCGATTTTCACTTGAGGACGGCAATTCGTTCCTATTGGAACGGATTATCCGGTTTTCAATGCATTTCAATGGGAAACCGCGTTTCGATTAGCGATGGAATCGCTTAGCAGTGATTTTTCGGAACTAATTAACATCGCTAAGCGAGGCACCACTGTACTTCAAAACAAATAGCACTGCTGACAACTTGATTTTTTGTTGTGTACAGAAAGTTCTCAGTGTCCTATTTGAACACTGCTCTTTTAAAAACATTACAACAAATTAGCATAAAGACCATATAGTTCAATATATATTTCATGAAATTCCTGGTAATATTTGTTATGCCAGCATTTCACACACCATGTAAAACCTACTGCACACATAGCAGATAAAACTGGAAGACAGGGATCTACAGCAGAAGGTGAGAACAGAAGCAGGGCCACATTGATATCTCTGTTAAGTAGGTGCTTCCAGCCCAAGTTCAAAGGTTCGTCCCAACAAGAGTGACCCATTAAATCAATGGGACAATGGTAAGCTGACATATAGCTATGCTAATTGATTCAATTGGTCTACTCTGTTTGGAAATAATAACTAGGTTTAGCCCCTTGTTTCTGCCTCCACCTCAATGATCAATTGGGAGCACCTTGTCCAACAGGGAGTAGAGAAAAAGATGTAAAACAGTGCCAATTCACTGTATTTTTGTCTAAAAGAACATTCTTTTTGGTTTCTCCTCTTTGTAAACCGTTTCTGTCCCAATTGATCCTTAAATCAACTCCGTATCTTTAAGGTCTGTTTATCACAATTTGCTTCTCTCCTCCTCCCCCCCTCCATATTTTTTTAAATAACATGTATTTTAGAAAATCGGTCTGAGGACCTGGATGTAGTTTTTTATTTATCGGTAAACTATTCTGGGAGCCATTTCATCTGCAAAGATTAAGGTGCTTTTACATATATTAATGGAAAATAAATTAAGTGACTAGATGGTAGATTTACCTGTGGTCCTCATTTGTAGCAATTAAGCTAGAGACATTACGGAGTATTCCTCCTCCACTTTCAATGATTGCTAAAGTGTTTGTTTGGCTCCGGTAAGTCAGTGTGCCAACTAAAAAGGCAAGAGCACCATCCACAGCACAGATATCGGCTTTATTCTCAGTGCAGTGTGCTGACAAATTCCACAAGGCACTCAATACACTTTTTAGGGTTGATTCCTAGGAAGAACAAAGAAACACTAAATTTCAGTTCTGTGGTGCAACATTCAGCAAAATAAATTAGCAACAGCTTTAATTATTGCAATGGCTAAGTATTATGCTTTTAAAAGAATATGTACAAGAGAACATAATGGCTAAGTATTATGCTTTTAAAAGAACATGTACAAGAGAACACCTGCAAAAGTCAATTTTTTTTTGGGCTTTTTTAGTCATCTTATAACATATAAGGCATGTGCAAAAGCATGTTCTGTATCTAAATAAAGGATATACAGACTGGGGCTCAGCTGCCCTGTACTATTCAGGATAAATTCTAACCCTTTCCATCCCAGGTCTTTGGCATTATTTCCAATCACTGTCTTGCAATGAAAAAAAAAAAACCTTTCCTGCAAGCACACGTCAGAGTGATGGTCCTATGCAGCGCTATCAGTTTTGATGACATACAGACCTTAGACTTTAGGGCCAGAATACTACTGAAAATTTATGCAGGCATTAAGTGAAACCAGGTAAGTCACAGTAATGAACTACTACTAATTAATGAGGTGCTGGTTATATGACATGCACCTTTCCAAGTTCAGACATGTTCAAAGTTATGTTCCACTTGGAACTACCCCATGGAACTGCCCCACATTGTTTGGCTACTGTGTCTAGGTCTCCCAAGCTCCTATGAGTTTGTGATTGGTTATGGATAGAACACCTGCCCTGCCCGTCCCCAGAATAAATACATGATACAACTTCTCTATATTTACTTTATTTATTTATTTATTTAAATTTATTTGAAATATTTTAACACACACACCACAGACATCTTTCAGTCTTGAGAGACTATGGTAACATGCTCTGAATCGAGGAGTGTCCTCTCCAGAGCATGAAGCCTGGGTAAAGTAATATGGAGGATAGGCTGTTACCCAAGCAGCAGATCCCCCCTCTCCACGTTGCTGAAATGGTCCAATGGAAAGGCAAGAGCCAATACAATTGATTCCACCAACGTCGCAGGGGTGGCAGAACGACACGAACTGCCTTCAGGACTCCAGCTCCAGATTTTGCCTCTAAGTTAACTCCTGAAGCCTTTTCCATCAGTGGATATAGCCACAAGGCAGTGGAAGTTTGAAATCGGAGTTTTCCTTCTCCTAGATGGGCTGCCTTCCATGGCTGATGAGCCTCACCTACCCGGCTCACACACACCACCTTTCTCCTTAAATGAACCAAGGTGGCTTAGATAATTAAAAAGACAATATTTAAAAGCTATGGCTGCTGCTATGACTTGTGGAGAGTACAACAGGGAAGCATATCTCATCTACCAATCAATAACAGCCATGGGGTCTTTCATGCCCAGGAAAGATAATGACATCTGCTGCAGTGTGATCTCATCTTCTACGTCCTTTGGGAAAGGTTGTCTGTCTCTCACCAACCCAAACCCACACAGGCCTCCCAGTGACTTTCCTTGCAGAGAATGGAGACGTGTGCAGAGATCTGCCAAGAGGCTCTTCACCAGAGTGCCACTCTGGGAAAACTGGACAGAGGCATGCAGTAACAATCAAGCCTCTTGGTGGCTCTCCTTGCAGAGGAAAGAGGGGTGTATACAAAACCCTAAAAAGTTTAACCTCTGCAAATGACAGGCTCCTGCTTCTATCATGCCAGTCAGCGACAGCTGCTTCCTTCCGTCGCATCCCAAGAAGCTACTACCAAAGTAACAAGGACAGGCTACTTCCTTTCATTCTCTACAACCAAAGCAAACACAATGAACTTTCCCCCTGGGCACCAGAGAACTGATGCAGGTATGTATGCCAGCCTACATTGCCTCAGAAAATATGAGGAAAGATATGTGGAAAAGAGCCCGCAAAACTTGTCTTTTGAAATACATGGATGGGCTAAACAAGGAATCTTGGCAATGCTACAGCAGGCTCAAGCCAAGTTCACACCAACAAAATAGACAGGAGTTTGGACTAGCTATGCTGATGACAACCAGTGTCTAGAGAAAACAAAGGCCAGTAAAGAATCTTAAGAATGGAGGGAAGAGGAGGTACACTAGCAAAAAAGAGTGAAGTTGTTTAATAAGTAGACTGAAAAGGGTCTTCCACTACCTTGACTATGCAAGACTGAAGGATGAGTACAAGACTTGCAAGATGGTCACAGATGAGAGGCAGGATGGAGAGTTTGCTCTACCAGCATTTCAAAATATAAGTGTGATCTAACTATTATCATTTCCTCTCCAAATTCTAATTTATGATACAGTACCTCCCCCAGGAGCTTGACTTAAACAACTTCACTGGACAGAATCCTGTTCAGAACCCTTCTAGAAGGTTAATGGTATATCTCACTATGTAGTAGTCAAGGGCCTTAACTACTCTAACAACAAAATATCAACTCCCAGGGAGCAACTGCCAGACAAACGGAGAATATGATAGGCAAGCAGGCAAGGAGGTTATCCTGAGAGGCTGATTGTTAGAAAAGTCAATCTGATAACCTAGCTAGAGAGCCAGAGGTTGGGAGTTTGATTCCCAACTGTGTCTCCAAGGAGAAGAGTTGGCCTCTTGGGCCTTGGGAAAGCTGCAGATACCTAAGGTGCCCCCCAGAAAAAGGGAGTGGTAAACTGTTTCTGTGTACTCTCTATAAAGAGAACTCTGGAAAAGGGTCACTGTAAGTTGGATTAAACTGTTCCACCATTCCAAAGGAGACTGGTAGTGTGTCACAACTTTGCCTACAATGGAGAAAATGCATTCACTGGGTATGCTGGTGGAGGGGCAAATTAGTATTTCTCTCACCATCCAAGCAAGGCCTAGAAAGGTGTGGCTGGGAGATGCCTAGAACTCTGAAGGTTGATGAAGGTGCCTTCCATTGACTTGCAGAGGTAACAGGTGACTTCTCTCACAGCAGCATCCTAGCCCATGGTATTACCTCTGGGCCTTGAAAGTCATTTTTTCTCCTCCACTGTGTGCTGGGGCTCTCTCTGAATGATTGTGAAGTACAGTGGTGCCTTCCTTAACAAGCACACCGTATAACGATGAATTCGCATAGCAATCCCTTTTTTGGGATCGCTAATGCGATGGCATCCCAACCGCCGCAATGGGCAAAACTCGCATTGCGACGCCCGGAGATCAGCTGTTCGGCGGTTTCAAAATGGCCGCCGGATGCCCGAAATGGCCGCACGCAGCGTTTTCGCGCCCTGCCCTTGCTTAGCGAGGGCGCGAAAATGGCTGTGGATGGGGAAAACTTCACTTAACGGTGAGTACAGAAGCCATTGGAACGCATTAAACTAAGTTTAATGCGTTCCAATGGCATTTTCCATCCCGTTTAGTGATGTTTTCTTATAGCGATTAACCGGATTAACCTCGCTATGCGGGGCACCATTGTATGTTATTGGTGTTAAAATCCTTCAGATTATTCCTCTTCCCATCATACACCTGTATTATGTACTGTGGAGATGCTCGCGCGCTGTCACCACCAGGGAGGAAGCCGGTGCTGCCCCCCCCAAAGCTGCTCATCTTCTCTGATGCCTTCGGTCCCTGCGCCGGCTGTCCTTGTCCTGCCGCAGACTTCCACATGGCCTCAATGCCCGGGTAGGGAGCAGCAGGCCCTCTCTATGCCGCTCATAACAACGAAAAGGCGGGCAACCAACATGACCGGACCGAAACCTCGTATAGCAAAATTCCCCCATAGGAAACACTGTTTTGCGAAGCGCAATGGCGGTTGCAAAACCTCATTGTCAGGCGAATTCGTCGTTTTGCGAGGTCGTCGTCTTGCGAGGTAGCACTGTATGTATAGGATTGTCTATATGAAACACTCTACCACTGAGCTCCATATAACACTTTTCTCTTGGTGGAGGGAAGCTAGTTTTATTCTGTTATATTCTTATTTTGTAAAATAAAGGAGAAAACAGACATAGAAAATAATTCTTGACAATATACACTGAAAATATTCTTCTGACCTTTTTAACTTCTAAAGCACACTCCATCAATGCTTTAACACTTCCAACTTCACGCAATGTCTTCTTACTGTTGACATCTGCTCGCCAAGACAAGTTTCTTAAGACACTTGCAATGACCTGTAAAAATATAACTATATGTTAACTTGTACACATCTTACAGTTTCCTGCTAATCTTTGGTACTTATGAAATGCCAGAAAACAACTACTGAGGACCAGCTGACAAACAATAGGCAGCCAGCCAATATCTTAAAATTAAAAAATCCTATTAAATGAAGGCAAAATGCTATCGCTTTTCATTATTTTAATATGAAAAACTATGTTATTCTACAAAGGAATCCATGAACAGGTTTCTCAATAGATCTGGGTAAGATTAAGTTATTTATATTGCTTCCTGGGTGTGATTCTGAAGATTTTGAAATCTGGTGCCTTCCAGATGCTTTGGGATCGCTCCCATACATCAGAATCAGCATAAATAATGTCAGGGATTATTGAAGTTATGATCCCAAACATCTGAAAGGCATAGAAAATGTTTGCCTGGACACAGAGAACATGAAGAAAATGGAATTGGGTAAACTGGAGAAAAATGATGTGAAACTGGGGATGAGAGATTTAAGAAAAATTTGCTAACCTAAATGGTGCAGAAAATACATGAAATATGCAGTAGCAGAAATTATAAATTAAGAAAAAGGATATACCTGTTGCAAATCTTCACTTTCAGATTTTAACTGGGCTACAAGAGCCTTCATACAGCTCTTCATAGAACAAAGGGTAGCCTTTTAAAAAGAAAAGAGAAAAACACTGTATAAAAACAGCTAAGCAGCCTTATTAGCAGTCTTATTATTAAATTATGTTATCTGCAGAGTTAAAGGACAAAGAACAATATAGAATATATTATTTTTCTATACTCTGTGTACTACGTGCACACATGTCAGCCAGCAATAAAGATAAAACACTAAATACAGTACATGCTAAAACAAATAGGAAAATGAAATAAACAGCAGGAGTTTAAAATGTTTATGAAAAAGACCACATTAATTAAACATCAAACTGGAATAAAATTGTCTTTGCTGCACACAAGCAAAACAAAACAAAACCTCCCTGAGCAAGCTATTCCATAGTCTACACAACTGAGAAATCCCTGTGCAGTCACTGCATTTCTGATGAAGAACCAGGAAAAGGCCCTCTACAATGGAAATGCTTTCTTACAGAGACTCATAAGAAAAAGTGCAATTGCAGATAAACATCCTCCCCAGGATTTAAATATGATAAGCATATTAAATTGACTTTGGAAGCAAACTGATGGTTGGTGTTAACTGTTACAAAATCAGAAAGAATGATACTGGTTATTTTCTTTTCCCTGCCCAAACCTTGTTGGCCACATTCTGAATTCTCCAAATTCATATATAGCACATATATAGCACATCTACAACTGATAATGACATGAATCACTATGGCTAGATATGACTTCACCAGGCAAAGACTCAGGTACCTTATCAGAGGAAATTTACAAGATGTTTCTAGAGTCTTGAACATCCAGAGGCAGCAACGGAACTGGACGTTCTCTGCCAGGTAAAGTTTTACATGAGTGATCTTTTTCCATTTGTTTTTCTATTTTTCTATTCTACACTATTTCAGAACTATCACCTGGAGAAAAGATGCATCCCAAAAAGAGACCAGAAATACAGACAACAACTTAAGTATCTATGAGAAATGTGAAGCAAGGAAAGGGCAAATAAGATGAAAACAATTTCATCTTATTTGCCCTTTCATTGCTTCACATTTCTCATAGTCTAGGTCCACTTGATAACTACATCTGTTCTTACTTAGCTGCCTCCCAAACCTTACATGCACCCAAAAACTCGCTAAAAATGCACATGCAAAAAACTAGAAGACTCCAAATGCAGCAGTTTCAAGAATCTCAATAAAGTACAGGTACAAAAATATATATATTAAAATAATTCATGAGCTACATAAGGTGTGAGGACAAACAACCAGCCAGGAAGCACCAAAGTATGCACTTTCCAGGCAAAAGAATTCCAATTCTCACTTAACTTCTCAGATGCCTAGATTTCCACCACTCCTTTGGCACTACCCAGAGAGACATGTGCCTGTACCAGTCAGCTTATCAAATTTAACAGACTTCAGCTATCAAGAATTCCTTCCAGACCTAAGTTTTTGTATTTTCTGTCCCATGCCCAGTTGTATAATGATAGCTTAAAATTACTGTACGCAGGCTTTTATATGTAGAACAGCTAATGTTCCAAACCTTAAAAGTATTAAGCAGTAAAAGACTTATTTATAGCCCACCTTATTGGCTACATCTCCGAAAGTTAAATTCGTCAGAGCCATTCCAGCATATCTTCTTAATGTGACACTATAGTGGTCATTAGTAAGTCCATACATTTCGCAGTCTACCTGCAGGAGTTCTGCAATAGCCTGCAAGCCTCCTGTAAAAATGATTTAAAATGTATGTTAGAAATAATTAGTTTTCTCAAAAGTCAGAAAAGAGAATAATTAAAAATGTCACTATCATTTCAAGGAAATGCTTGTCTTAAAGTATAAATGGTCGGACAGAGTTTTAAGCATTTGATGGAAACGGAAGCAAATCCAGTAACGAAAAATTCAAATGTTCACTATGAGTTCATGGTGCATTTCCCAGGTTAGCATAATCACCACACTAAGGCAGAAGTGGCCAAAGTATAACCTTGAGACCATGTCCATCTCCCTCAAGGCTGATTCTGTAGTGCCCTGACTTCTCTTTTTCCAGCAAAAAAAAAGTACGAACAGTAGTTACAGGATTCCTTCAGGAGTGTTGACTCACTTTATAAATACATATCCATTTGACTCTGTTCACATTTCCAAAAACCCATTTTTCCAAACTGGAAATGGACTTCTAGCCACTTCCAATCTCAATGTCGCAAAACCTTAATCTCTGTAGACAATTTTGGGTGTGTGGTGTGGTGTGGTGTGGTGTGGTGTGGTGTGGTGTGTGTGTGTGTGTGTGTGTGTGAGAGAGAGAGAGAGAGATGACAAATCTAGACATTTTAATTTTCCTGCTCTTCTGTGCATGCATGGTTCTTGGATTGGGGTTTTAAATTTAAAATCTGAATTTAAAATTTTTACTGGTTGTTTTTCTTCTGGGTTGGGAGGGAAATGTTCCATGAGTCTCACTTTAAATGGTATTTCCTGGGAGAATTTGGATCTGCTATTGCATTCGTTCTGTTTGGGAGAAGCGTGCAGAAATGTGATTTAAAATTTTGGGTACCCTGCAGGGGAATCTTAGGGGCTACAGTAGCTTCTGTTGTGGGGGTTTGAATGCAAAAGTCTGATGCCAAGTTTGGTTTTTTTTACTGTAGTCATTCCTTTCTGTCGTGTGGTGTGGCCTTTGGTGGACTTTTCCAGAACATCTGGGACAGCAAGAGGTAGGTCTGCATTTCTTCTCCTGTGGGTTTTTTTCCCTTAGCTTGTGCTGGGGGATGTAGTTATGCTAACTCTAATTATTCTCAAAATTTCTTTGGTCAGGGATCCTCCTGTGGCGTGGCGTGGCCTGCAGTGGAGTTTGCTGCTTCAGGGACAGCAAGAGATAATTTCTTCTCCTGGAGGTCCTGTGGCATGGTGTGGCCTGCAGGGTAGCTCTCCATAGCTTCTGGGACATCAAAAGGTAGGTCTGGATTTGTTTTCCTGTGGTTTTTTTTCCTTAGCTTGTGCTGGGGTGTGTGTGTTATGCCACTTGTTTGTCCAGGGCAGTTTTGGCCAGGTGTGGGAAGGTGAAATGGATGTAAAGCACTGACTTTTTTTTAAACATAGCAACAGCTGACATGGGTCCCAAAAAACCTGCTTCTGCTGAGGTCGGCAAGCCGACCAGGGAGAAGATGACCCTGGAGATGAAAAAAGAGATCCTCCGGAAGTACGATGGAGGCAAGTGCATCGCGGACATCACCAGGGAGTACAGCAGGAATCGATCCACCATCGGCACAATTGTAGCAATGAGGGAGAAGATCCTTGCCACGGATGCAGCGCGGGGGGTCACCAGGATCGCAAAGAACTGGCCAGCTGTCCTGGAGGAGGAGGAGAAGCTCCTTGTCCTCTGGATGAAGGAGAAGCAGCATGCAGGGGACACAGTGACTGAGGCTGTCATCTGTGAGAAGGCCAGGGCCTTGTATGCGGACCTCATGGAGCAACAGCCCGGAACCTCAGCTGAGCCAGAAGAGTTCAAGGCAAGCAGAGGCTGGTTTGAA